AGGAATGTGTGTGAAAGGCTGCACTGCAAAAACACAACATTTTACCAAGTATTTCACTTTAGTTTCTAGTGCAAATATCTTAGTACACTTAAAATAAGACAAAACTAACTTACAAGTTAGTTTTCAGCAAGATATAGGAGCTTGTTTTAAGTAAATAATTCCTTCATATTGATAAAAAAATATTAGTTCCACTGGAGGATAATTTCACTTTTAACAAGACATTTTTCTCATGTTTTAAAGGAAATAATCTGCCAATTGAGCTAATACTAAATACTAATACTAAAAAATCAGTATTAATACATTATTGACCTCAAACAAACTCCTATATTAATTGCTAAAAAGTTACTTGTGAGTTAGTTTTGTCTTATTTCAAGTGTACTGATACATTAGCAGTAAAATTCGACCAAAACACTCGGTAAGGTTTTGTGTTTTTGCAGTGAGCAGGTACATTTTGTGTGACCGCTCTCTGGATCTGCAGCATCTGGTCACATTCCTGTCCTTCCTCTCGTGGGCTGCAGGGAAAGAAGCCATGTTTTCTTTTCATGTTGGCTGAATGTTAGCAGACTCACCACACAATAAAGTTTATTTACTGACACGTTTGACAGCCAGGACTGTAAAACTTCTGCTGCCGCTCGGCCTTGTGCCCGAGAGACAGAACCGGCAGCGTTGCCCCGACAACGGCCGGTGTGGACATGGAGAGCTTCCTCGCTCACCGCCTCATCCCCTTACTGTCTGTTAGAGGAAGGTCAAGGCCAACGCTGCAGTGTTTTACTCAGACATGAAGTCACTCTGACATCTTTTCAAAGTACTACACTGCAAAAACACAAAATCTAACCAAGTATTTTTGTCTTGTTTCTGGTGCAAATATTTTAGTACACTTGAACTTAGACAAAATTGTTTTACAAGTAAGTTTTAAGCAAGCTTGTTTTAAGTAAATAAAATCCTTTGATTTGATGAAAAAGTACTAATACCACTTTCAGATTATTTCACTTACATAAAGGAAAAAAAAAATTATTAGTAATGAAATAATCTGCCAGTGAAACTAACTATTTTTCATCAAAATTAAGGAGTTATTGACTTAAAGGGACATATTATGCTAAATGTACATTTTGGACATTTTTATATTTCCATTTGAGTTTCCTCTGTTTCAAAACAACAACCCAAGCACTTAAAAAACCTGGCGTTGTTTTAAGTTAATGTTTTTGATTTCTGGAAAATGAGTCCTTTCAAAAACCTCCAGAATGTAACGTCACAAATCAGCAGGCACTACCCGTTTTCCTGAAAAGACGTTTTCCTGCTGTGAACAAAGTGTTCATGAACATCAGAGCACAAAAAGATAAAAAGCTTTTAGAGCGTTTATATATTTTGTTCTTTTTCTGCACCAGTTTTTCTTCTTGTAAAATCTGAGCTTCTCTTGAAGCCAAAACGTTGTTCAGTACCGAGTTAAATCCAAAACGAAAAGAGGAAACCATAACAAAAGCTGCAAAAAGCAGAAAGATCCAGAACTGACACAACAAACCATTAACTGATCCTGATGGGGAGGATCTGACAACAGAGGGCTGAGAACAGAGGGAGGGTGATTATCTGAAGCAGGCAGGAAGACAAACGAGACGCAGAGAGAAAAGAGAGCAGAGCCACAACTCACAACTAAACCAGGACATGTGAGAATTAAATGTTCTAAACAGAACAAAAACTAAGAATTTCTACAATAATACCAGAATATTATTTCAGCACCATCGATCCAAACCCACTCCAACAGATTTACAGAACCAAGAAAAGAAAGAAAAACCAACACACACGACATTTAACCACAACTTTGAACATGTTTCCACTTACACTGCAAAAATTTAAATCTTACCAAGTATTCTGTCTGGTTTCTATTGCAAATATCTTAGAACATTTAAAATAAGATAAAAATAACTTACAACTAACTTTGCAGCAAGATAGCAGTTTGTGTTAAGCCAATAATTCCTAAATATTGATGAAAAATTATTTCCACTGGGAAATGTTTCACTTATGGGAAAAACTTATTAGAGAAAAAATCTACTTTTTTAAAATAAGTATGAAGAAATTATTGATGTTGTTTTATTACACAGAAGAGGATTTCTCCTTCATTCAGCCAAACAGCCAGATGTGCCGTCCTTTCTTAATTATCCTGCTAACAGAAAAATATCTGAAGGTTTTTGTATTTTTCTGTATTCAGAACTTGGACGCCTTTCATCACAGACTCACAACTCCAGCCTAAAACCAGAGACTTTTTTCTGGATCACTGTTACATTCTCAGACTCAAAGATACCTGATTATGGTTCTGCAAATCTGAGCTTTGTAAGTTGGATTAAGCTCGGGTTTCATCCACTGGGCCAGATTTAAGAGAAACAAAGAGACGTGGCCAAAACCGCCCGGAGTGTCACGAGGTCCAGATCTACTGACGCTAAATCTGTTATGTCAAACGGAATTATGTCATAGAAATAATTCAATATAACGTCATATCTAAATGTTCAATTAGACACACTTATGAAAATCAATTTAATCAATTTGGGTTTTATTGCAGATTATTAAAATCGTGATAAAAACTTTTAATAAAATCTCCAGTTATTGGCAGAAACTGATGGTTTCTATAGGATCTGGTTCTGACTGAAGACGGATTTCATGTCAGATTAACAGTTTCTGCATTGATTTGGCTATATGTATTGGATTATAATCCCATTTTCTACTTTCTGGCAGAAGCAAGCAGCTTTTTTTTTCAGAATGTCGTATCAAGGAGTTCAAAATGAAAATTATTATTTTTTAATATAGGATTTATTTTTACCACAAATATTTCAGCTCAGATTAAAGTTTGGATATTTGTCTATTTTTCTGTGTGAGATTATTTTTGCTTTAAATGCTTTTCTATCAGAGGACCAATAAATGTATTTGGCCTTGTGCATGTTCTCATGTTAGGATAGAATAGAAAAATCCTTTATTCGCTTGTTACAGTTAAAAAAGACATAAGAAAACATCTATAAACAACTGTATATTAAAATAAAATTAAAAGTAAATAGAAACCTGAAAATGATAAAAATGAAAATGACATAATTATGTTGTGCAGTTTCCATTGGATGCAAGCAGATGAACCAGCACAAGGCAGCATTTTAAGGAAAGGATTTAATGTGAATGAGTGAAAATAAAAGCTAAAAAACTGACATAGATTCTGTCGATAATTTAGTCCATTAATTGGTTCAGTTTCTTTAGCTCCAGATATGCCAGTTAAAAGTTTCTCCACCAAGCACCATCTGAACTTTGACCTCCAACCAGAAATACTCTGCAAAGTTGTGGTTGATTCCTGTTTGACATTTTTCTCATCTCAAAGTTTCATGTTAAAATCGAAGACAAAGAGTCTTAAAATCCCAGCTGTGCTCGATATAAAGATCATTTGAAGTTGGAAACATTTAGTAGGAAACCAATCAACGTGTTGATGCTTTGTAAAACATGTGGAGAAACTGAAGGTTTTTTTATGTTTCACTTTGATGTGTAAAGACCTCATAGAAATAACATTAAATGCCACATGGAGTATTTTTGGTGTGTGGGTTGAACCCTGAGGTGTCTGACGGGGGGATGACTTTAAATCTCCAGACGCTGCAGGCTTATCGGAGAGGAAAAACTGCTGAGATTTAAATTACAGTGCGAGGAAATGCCGCAGGGCTGCGGGGCAGACGGTGGTGCTGCTGCTGACCCCACCCTGAATGACGGGCAGGACCACAGGCTGCCGTGAAAACGTTAAATTCAGCTTCATCTTCCAGGTCCAACGGGATTAAAATCATATCTGGATATTTAAGATGTCAAACTTCTGCCAAAATACAAGAACACAGAAGAAGGTTTACCTTCAGCCTTTGATTGAAATCAGTGCCATAAGATAGTAAATTCAGGATGAGACTATGAGAAGTGAAAGGAAGAAAATGTCATGAGCAAAAAGTATTACAGTATTGTCTTCTGTTCAGAGAGATCCTGTTTACATGATCCTACAGTTTGTACAAAGACAGAAAAAAGGACATTTAGATTCTCCTGCAGGATTTCCTTTATGTCATCCTTTGAACTGAGAGTTTACTCAGGAAAAACATCTATTTTTTTAAATGCACTGAATTTCAGCCAAATAAATTAACAAATAAAGGTTAAATTAAAGCAACCGTCCAGTCCAGCTAAAAAAGGAGGTTATAGGAACTCGATTTTAGGGGAAGATTGAAGTATTTGAAAAAAAAAACCTTCTATTTTTAACAGATTTTCTTCTTCTTCTTCATTTATGGTGGTTTTAAAGCAACATATTGATGTGCATTACCACCATCTACTTTAAAGATTTTTCTAAACTGAAGCCACTTTCACTGAAACTGAAGATTTACTTGCAGAGTAACTCCAGTTTAATATGTGACAATAATTATTTGTCACGTTTGTTTTATTAAGTGTTTCTGTTGCTTCTTTCCTGCAGGTGTTTTTCTTTCCACGTCATGTAAGAAATGCTCTGAGTGGGTCTGACAGTAAATGTCATCACTTTCTAAAGTGTCCTAACAGTACAGTGGGATTAATACATCTACACTACAGCTTTCAGTACAGTGACATCATTTTGAGGATGTGTGTGTATCTTTACATGCATTGTTGTGTGGCGGTCATTGTTGCAGATGACCCTTTGTTTCCCACCTCCCATCTGCTCCAGACTTGGAATATAATCCAGATTAATGCCCACGAATGCCCCCGACTCACACACACACAGACACTGCTGTATTCCCAAACTGCATTAACATTCACACACAGTGGTGATATCTGGGTCACAGCTGATTTTTGGATCGACACATCCGCTGTCTAAGTGACCCAGTGTCCATCATCAAAGCGCTGCTATCATTGGCGTGGGAGTGATTTTCTCTGTGTGAGTGAGTGGATTAACTCATCAGGGATCAGGGATGAAATGAGGAAAGCTATTGTCTGTTAAACAATAGCTTTGCTGGGTTTTCTGGTGTTTTTCTGTTTCTGACCTCCAAAGCCTGGTCTGATGGCGAAGTCTTGCTCCTCGATCCTCAGCAGCTGTTCACTTTTTATTAGCAGCGTTTTGGTGCTGTCCTGCCGCTTCAGCTTGTAATCAATGCGTCTGCAAATGAACACACAGATGAACAGACAGCTGAGTGATTAGCTCTGTTTTAGGCTGTGATTAAAGGTTTAATTAGAGACAATAGAGATTGTGCTCTGCTCTTTTAATCCTCACCTCCAACTCGCTCTCATTCGGCTAAAACCGTGACCTTAATGGCAGACATGTTACAGCGTCACACTCAAACATTCATCCAAACAAAGACATTTGTTCTGTAGTTTTATTGCTTTGCAGCCATTTGTTGCCATGTAGGTCTCATAAAAATAAAACCAGCAGGCAACGAATACAAAAAGTGGATAAAATTACACATTTATGTTTTAAAATAAATCAAACTTCAGCTGTTAAAATAAGAGAGAATTTGAACCTCATAATTACAGGCTTAACTGACTGTGTGTGAGAATTCATGAGCCAAAATCAAACATTCAAAGCACAGGTGAACAAACAGCCTGAAAAACGACAAACCCTGACAGATGAAAAGCTTCTCTAATACATCCACAGGTTTATTATGAGAACAGCAGCCAAACTCTGGTGTCACTGGAACTGCTGCTGAAACATGTTTATTCCTTAAAAAATACAAAATAATGCAAACTTATCAAACAAAGGTTCAGAATAAAACTGAACAAATACAAAAATAATCCAACAACAATCAAAATAACTTTATCTCATATTCAACAGAAGTTCACGTTCGCTTACATTCCCTCTTAATAAGCAAATATGATATTAATATCGAGATTAAAGGTGAAGAAATGAACTTCAGCCTTTCTTAAAAGGTAAAATAATATGAAAATCTGTAACTATTTGTGACATTTATAACATTTAGGGTATTTTTCATTCATCAATTTGCATTATTGTTATTAAATTGAAGATATACTTTATTAAATTCCTTCATCCGTTCAATTTCTTAACTTTTAAGGGGATTTAATTGTAATTTTAGACATTAAAACTTACATTATTAAAGTTTTGTCTGAAGGATTGTGCTGATTGAGAGAGGATGAGCTAATTAAAGCAGTTTATTACTATTATACTAAAGTAAAGTCGTGTGTTTATCAGATGAAAACATCAAGAAATGAAACTCTTTGTTTATTTTCTTGAACCAGCAGAAGATTTGATCAGTTTGGTCCTCAGAAAGATGGAAGATCTGATAATCAGACAGGAACAGATGAGGGCAGAGCAGCTGCAGCTGCCAACATCTGCATTCAGCCGTTACACACACACACACACACACACACACACACGCAGACACACACACACACACACACACACACAGAGACACACACAGATACACTCACACACACGCACACACACTCACATGCACACGCACACACACACACACACACACACTCACATGCACACGCACACACACGCACACACACACACACACGCACACACACACACACACGCAGAGACACACACAGAGACACACACACACACACACACACACACCCCTACACACACACACACACACACGCAGAGACACACACACGCATGCACACACATTAACTATTAGAAAGGAGTTTGTTTGTTTTAGTTTAACGATATTTTTATTGATCTCTGGCAGAGATTCCAGTCAGACGGATCCAGGAAATGGACTGCAACGATCACAGAAGCATCTAACTTAGACGTAGGAGAAACATTTTTATGCATGGTTGTTGTTCTGAAGTCTCAACATACGGGCAGTTTTAAATAAGTTTCTTTGGATTAACAAACCTGTAAAATAATCGTTGGCTGGAAGGCCTACAGACAAGACAACGGTTTATTCTAAATGTAACATCGCTTTATGTTTTGAATCTGAACAAATTAATTTAAAATAAATACATAAAAAGAACTGGACTACAAAAACACAAAATATTACAAATGATTTTTGGTCTATTTTAATATAAATATCTTAGTATGCTTCAAATGAGACAAAACTAACTTTAAAGTAACTTTTCAGCAAGAAATAAAAGCTTATTTTAAGTGAATAATTCCTTTATATTGATGAAAAAGTTTTATTTCCACTGGGAAATTATTTCACTTTTTCCAATGTAAGTTAATTAACCTGCCAGTGGAACCAGAACTTTAAAAAAAAATCAATATTAAGGGATTATTGACTTAAAACAAGCTCCTATTTGTTTTTTACTGAAAAGTTACTTTTAAGTTAGTTTTGTCTTATTTATTTCACACTAAAAAAACAGACCAAAAATACTCGATAAGTTTTGTTTTTGAAGAAAGTTGATTTTGCTGAGATTCTGCCTCTGGTATCAATCATCTTTTAAAAGATCAGATCCTGTTTTCCAATAATCACTCATTTCTCTGCGTAGAGCGTCGGACCGACCCGCAGCAGTAAACTTCTGTCCTCTGGACCCAGATGGTCTTTGACTCTTAACCAAAACCCAAAGTTAATTTTTTCCCATCATGCCATAGTTCCTGCTCCCACAGATCACATGACTTTCCAGCTCTGATGTTTTATGGATCCAGATAACGCCGCCTGCTATCTAACAGCTTTAACCTCCAGAGAAACAAAACGTTTACAAATGTTTCCCACTGGAATCAGGTGACTTATCAGCTCTGGAGGCGGTAAAAGGCCAATAAACTGAAAGGTGTTGAAGCGAGTATGTGACTGAGGTGAGGAAGTAAAAACACTGCAAAAACACAAAACATTACCAAACATTTTTATCCAATCTTAGTGCAAATATCTTTGTACACTTGACATAAGAGAACTATAAGTATTTTTTCAGCAAAATACAGGAGCTTATTTTAAGTCAATAACTCCTTATTATTGATAGAAAAAATACTAATTCCATTGTGAGATTATTTAGTTTATAACAAGACATTTTCCCCATATTTTAAGTGAAATAATCTGCCAGCGGAAATGATATGTTTTCATCAATTATTGACAACCTCCTATGTCCAGCTGAAAATTTACTTGTATGTTATTTTTCTCTTATTTCAATTAAGATGTTTGTACTAAAAACTAAACAAAAATACTTGGTAATATTTAGTTTTTTGTAGTTATTATGGCTACAACTTACTTTGTCTATAAAAATGTTACATTTCGTACTTTTTTGCAACATTTTTAATCCATTTGAAATGAATTTCTTTGACTTAGACACTGGGAAGTAACACTAAATTATGTTGTAAATGTTTCTGAATATTAATAAAAAATAGAAAATGTAAGTTTCACGAATCTTTATGCTTTTGATGACATAACTTACTGAAACAGTAGAAACTCCACAGTCAGCAAAAAGATTTTCTTTTAAATTCTGGTGAAATGATGCAAACTCACGTTTAGTTTCAATACCAGCAGGAGTTCAGATTATTAACATGCAGCTCACACTGAGTTGCTTTTTCATATTTCATTCAGACTAAAAATGAGAAATATGTTCATTACGAAACTTCATGAGGAAGTGAAAGATGTTAAATAACGGGAGTCTGCCTGTGTTCATTTCAACCGAAACCACAAGCTAAAATAAAGAACGTGCTCATGATAAAGATTTCTTTATTATTTAAAACCATTCTGTCAGTTTCATAAAGTGGAAAATACGGAAGCTCAGTGATTTTACCTCAGCAACAAAACCTGACATGAAATTAAAGTTTTCTGCTTCCCTGATTTTAGGAAACGTTTTTGCATAGAACGAATGTAAACTGGAAAAGGTTTGAACATGTAGGGGATACTCTTTCTTATGAAGCTTTATTTTACATTTCTGAAATGGCGTCTTATATAATATTGCATCTTTATTATCTCTGTAAAATACAACAAATAAATCATAGATTAAAACACTATTTAGCAGAGCAAAATTACATAAAGATAAAATAACATATTGCCCTTATTTCCATCCATCCATCCATTTTCTTTACACCTTTGTCCCTTAGTGGGTCAGGAGGCGCTGCTGCCTCTCCAGCTAACGTTCTGGGCGAGAGGCGGGGTCACCTGGACAACAGGTCACCTGGACAACAGGTCACCTGGACAGGTCACCTGGACGGGTCACCAGTCTGTCGCAGGGCAACACAGAGACACACAACCATGCACACACACACTCACACACTCACACCTAGGGAGAATTTAGAGAGACTAACCTGACAGTCATGTTTTGGACTGTGGGAGGAAGCCGGAGAACCCGGACAGAACATTGTCCTTATTTACTGTGACAATAACAAGGGTCAAGGTCACAGCACTGTGTGTCATGCTAACCTCAGCTAGCATCTTAATAACAAACTAAGAGTAGCAATGCTAGGTTTTAGCATTCTTTCTGACAATTTAACATATTTTTAATGAAGTAACCTTTTAAAGTAATATCACCATTTTATCTGTTTCTAAAGGAGTTAGTCGTATTATTTTCAAAAAAATACTCAGACATCTTTCTAGACTAGCACACACATCTGTTAGCATCGGACATGAAGTCAGATCTCAACCACTAAAATATTTAATACATTTAAAATAATAATAATAAAAAAAACACTAAAGTTTTAAAAAAAAGAAAACTTTAAAGCTTCTTAGCTTGCTGATGTTAGCTGGCTAAGGTTAGCTTTGCTAGCTTGGTAACTAAACCAAAGTGAGTTTTGTAATGTTATGCAAATGTCTATTGTATGAAAACTAAGAATAATGGAAAATTTGTGCCAATGTCCACTCGGCTTTTCTTCTGTTGTTGCACTGACAAACTGAACACTCAGCTGGGCAGAACGGCTCAATGTGAATGTAAACTGGTTCGGATGCAGACAGGTTACTGGTTGACTCATGTCTGTGTGAAGTTAAGGTCCTCTGACATGTTTGCTCATTAAACAAGCATCATTTCTGACGTTAATGTCGTTCAACTGGTCAGTCAACAACTGCAGAGCAAGTTAGAACAAATGTGGGCCAACTTCCTGAAGAACAGGAAACAACGACAGCAGACTCTGTTTTCACCAGTTCAGTGCTGGTACCGGACCCCATACCACACGAGCATGGACCTTCAGCATCCTTGGACTTCAGGTTATCATCTATCTGATTTGATAATCAGATAGATGATTATCAAATCAGATAGCTACCTGACCTTTGACACCTGCAGTACTTCATTTTGCCTTTGGTTTGATGCTTATCTATATGTCCACTCATCCCATCCAGGTGTGTCTAATAATGATTATTCTTCTGCATTCTTCGTTAGCTGCCAATATTGTCAAACTAAAACCCCAGTGGTGTCCTTCACATCCTAAAATACCAAAAGCAGACAGATTTACAGTTTATTCACCATTTTGGCTTTGGCTTAAATGAAACTGAGACCTTGAAGTTTTACAGTTGACAGATGAGAGCAGAGTAAAATCTCTTTATGCTTTATGCTTTACAATGATGGAGATTACAGAGATATGATGCCTCCATCTGTCACTGTTCCTCCTCTGTCTCCTCATTTTCATTCCTAAACTCTTCCTACATCAGTCTGCTGGAGGACAAAACTTTGACAAACTTTGTCTCACCCTCCAAACTTGAACTTGCTGTTTTCTCCCAGGAAAACCTCCTTGTGTCTCCGGCGGTTGGAGCTGCGGCCGCCGGTCGCCGTGGCAACAAAGCTGGCCGCTGTCAGAGCCAGGCAAGCCAACACGTCCGCCTTCATTTTTCACAGGTCTCCCTGCCAAAACCGACACCAGAGCAGCATCCCCGCCGCAGCGAGCGCCCTGCTCCGCCGCCAGGAACATCCACACTCAGAGCCGGAGGTTCGGGTCCAGCATCCCGCTGCGGATCGCTGCTTCCTCCTCTTCACGGCTCCTGGACGGCAGACAGACTTCAGAGCAGGGCAAAGACATGAGGAAACCTCCTGACTGCCTCCTCTTCCTCACTCTGCCTGTTGGTCTCCGGGTTGTGGTTCTATCTCTGATTAAAATCGATATGAATCTATTCCTCGCGGCGACAGAGGAATGACACTAATTCCACCCAAATCCTCTTATCCACGGCCACAGCAATCTTTCACTAACCTACAAACAGTCCGCTTCGCTCTCACTCACTCCCATCAGTAATCAGGATTTTCTCAGCGGGACAATGAAAAAGCAGCACCTGCGGATTATCTGGAACACCTTCACGTGTCGGTGTGAATGTGCAGCAGAGGTGAGCCGGGACAAACGGATCCCGGAAAAGAGAAAAACATTGTCAAGATAATTGAGGATTTAATCCGAGCTGAAGTGGAGAGAAATGAGTCTAATCCAGACTAACACCTGAGGAAGAAGTTAGCCCACTGACACAGAAATATGTCTCTGCTGTTGCACTTTATTAAAATAATGTTGTGATGCATAAACAGAAGTTTTCCTCCGTCATTGAAGTTTTCTTAACTGGTTAAAGTTTTTTCTTGGTCAAAAGCTTTCTGAATATCAAAACATGATGAGAAAAACACAACTTCAAAAGAGATTATGGCAAATTATCATTTCCAACTCAGCCTCTCCTGGAGGAAGCAGACAAAAATGACTGATATCTTTTCCACTGTCTTACAAAAAACATTGTAAATCACATAACCTTCCCTTTCTACTGCGCTCCATGAGGGCCACTGTGGATTTCCACCAAAAAACTCAGACATTTTGAGATTAATCTAACAAATTTTCTAGAAAAAACCTGGGACATTTCTGAGTTCCTAAAGTGAAAAACTTTCAACTTTGAAATGTCTTTGTTTTTCTAGAAAATGTGACATTAATCGTAGTTTAACTAACATTATCTGCATGCAGGAGCGTTGTGGTTTACATGGTTTATTTAGAGCAAAGTTTTTTGCCTTTTGGCTCTGAATGATTGCAGGTAAAACTTTCAAAAGATTTCAAGAAACAGGAAGTTACATCAGAAGGGGATTGGTTAAAATTCAGCCCAATTGCAGTGATTGGTCAGAAAAAAAGGAAATACAGAAATTAAGTCAGATTTGCTGAAAATTTGCAATGATTGGTGAAAATTTCTGTTTTTTCTTGTTGCATGTAGAAAAGCAGGAAAGCATTTTTTTTTATTTTTCATTGCAGCGTCGTCTTTATGTTGGAATCAGGTTCCTCAAAGTATCTCGGGTGGAGGACACTTCAAGTTTTCCTGTGAGGAGAGAAATAAAGAGAGGAAAACAAATGTTTACAGATTGGTTTTCAAGCGCTGAACTCTTTCATTCTCATAAATCCTCCTAGTTGTGTTTCCTCCTGTACAATTAATAAATACTTAACAAAGCTTCTGTTTCAGACACAGACATAATAAACCTGACAGGTTCTTTAAACTCAGTATTAACTGGACCTGCTTTGTGCAGCTCCTCTCACTGTAAACTCTGATATTTCTCACCTTCATCTTCTGTTGGAGCCATTTTGAATTTGGTTTGATGCAATACATTCCTCTCTCAGTAACGACCCTATAAAGACAGAAACATCACAGATTATCAGTATTATCACTGTTGTTTGATGCCATTAGTCCTTTTCCATAATTACCTAATTATTATCTGGGTGCTTAAAAAGCAGAGACAAAGTGACCAGTATTAGTACTACTACTAGTTCAGGACCACAGACAAAGAAAAATTAGGACACCCAAATAAATACTGATTTCTTTTAAATGGTCACATATCAGAGTCATTTTTATTATCTCTGGACAGAAAGTGGTTTGACTGCACTCAATCAACACAAATTAACCTTGTTTTACTCATTAAAACAAACATAACAAAATTTTGCCCATTCTGTGGTTTGCAGATGTGATTTAGGCTGATGTAACAACGGCCTACTTAAAGCGCTGAAGGCTGTTTTACCACCTGACAGTGCGGTAGAATCAATTGGATTTGGAACCAAAGTTGCAACATTTGTTGTATTTGCACTGAATCAAGTTCCAAGCATTTTGAGCCACCTGTTCCCCTCCTCACCTGTGGGGGCGCTGCTCCAAAAACCACTGAAAGAAACGACATGAAAACCTCTGAAGAAGACACTGAACGCAACTTCCTGTTTCACGAAATGTAAATATAAATGGAGTGGCGTCAGATTTTAGCGGTTGGAGGATTTTTCTTTTATCTTTGACTAAAAACCGTGAATCTTTTCTCCTGCTAGCGCTGGCCTTTGTTTTGGTTGTATTTACCCAGAATGCCCTGCGCTACAGTCCATTTCCTGTTTTCAGAGCGGTCTCCGATCCACTTGGTGTTCACATATTCATTCAAACCGGAGCAAAGTTAACTTCAACCGAACAGAGACCGACCAGAGTTCACACCTCCCCAAATGAACCAGACTTAGGCAACAGCGGACCGAACAGGACGGTGTGAGTGCAGCTTATAAGGTCAGATTCAAAGCTGCACCACTAGAGGGAGCTCACAAACCTCCTGCGCTCTAAGAAACCTGTGGTCACACCTGGAGGAGGAAGAGAGATAAAAGTTGAAGTTGGTCTGTTTGCTGCGCTTACAGATAGAAATGTCCAAGACAGGAAGGTCTCGGTTTCTGTTCGAAACACTCCACGATGTTGAAGTCGACTCTATTTGATCCTTCCATACAGCAGGGAGGGACAACATGGCCTTTTTGTTTAACAGACGAACAGCCTGGGAGAAGAAACGTCAGAAAAAACATGGAGAAAATAGTTTAACAATGATTTCCTTTCAACACTGTATTTATTACAGCTTAAAATATATTTATAGCACACAATGTTTCAAAAAGCATTAAGAACCAACACCAAAAAAATAAAATAAAATAAAAAATAAAATAAAATAAAAAATAAAAGATTATGCACAATATTATTTCATTTAACAAAGAATACAATTTCATAAAAACAT